TCTTACCTTTCTTTCTCATCTCTCCAGAAGCCTTGGTCATATCAGATGAAGTCAACCTATCCTTTCCTGGGTACAGCCAATAATATCCATGCCAATTTCAACTATTCTTTCTTACAAGAAATGGCAGTCACACTGTTTGTTCTAGTTTCATAATGTGCAGAATTTCAGCTACTTCTATGCCTCCATTACTGACTCACCATTCTTTCTCATGCACATTATTATAGACTCCTTTTACAACTGATTTCTTTTTTCCATTTTTTTACTGAGCTTTTTAAGTTTCATACATCTCCCACTCAAATCCACATCACCTCCCCCATCCATGCATCCCCCATGCCCCATCCCTGAACCTTATGCACTCTGCAATACATTCTGAGTCCTAGCATATTGCCATTTGAATTTAGACATGTCCCTTTTAAAACATATCAAATCTTGATATTTCAATCCATTTCTTCATCATTGTGATCTTTCTACTGTCACATCAATCACCACCAGGTCGTGTGTAGAGTCAAAGAAAATATTCCTCTGGTGTCTGTAATCTTCTAGATCACACAGCCAGCTAGTCTTCTGATCCCACATTATCCCACACATTGATCTAGGGCCTATAAGATTATCATTCCTAGTTTGATCTTCCTTGACTGTGCCACCAAGGTATGCATTCATCTAGGAAGGAAGTCTGAAGGGAAATCATATAGGAGCTAGACTTCTGAGTTGAGTACCTATTCAATTGCCTGTAAGACCTCTCACAAAGTAGTTGAACTGGGTGGAATAAAGGCTTCAACTTAGGACTACTTCTTCTCCTGCCACTGTGTATCTAAGTTACAAAAATTCAAAACCTTGTGACTGGCTTTCTAGATTGCTATAAATTTATATCGGTTAAATGGGATAATAAACACATAATTAGATAATCATGTTTTGGTTTATAATAAATAATGAAACATAAAATACAGAGGACTCCGTTTATGCTCTGGTTCAAGGCTTGAAATTTTGGGGGATAAACATGTTGCCAATAAGTACCCAAAAGATCAGAATGCTAAGGGAGGAGAGAATGACTTTAACAGGTGAGGGGTTTCTGGAAGAATTAGTACCTGGCATCAGACTCAGAAATCCTAGCACTACAGATATTTCTGATATCCAAGAGCCTTGGGTAGGGCATGTAACTAAAAACAAAAGGACAATGAAAGGTGACAGTGATGTACATGATCACTTCACCACAGTGAGCATGAAATCACACATGCCCAATGAGGCAAGTCTCAGAACTCTATAGCCCCTCCGTCACACTTTTATTGATCAAATTGCTACTTCTAAGTTCTGTAAAGACAGGTCAAAACATTCTCTGACATCACATTTTTAAGAAACTAGTGTTTGTTTATTCATTATAAAATATTATTTTTCCTTTATTTTATAAATGATGAGTGCTAAATATTTAGGTCTTAGTAAACACAAAGGCGATTGTGGAAGATTTTGCTGTGACATCAATATTTTCTCTAGAATTTGTCATAACCTCATCATTCCTCCTGACCCTCCTCCAATCCCATGTAGGAGTGATTCTTCTCATCAATTTGTGGGTTCATTTGTCCAATTCTGAGGTCAAATTGGAAATCCATGTTGTCACTGCCAAAGCATGTTCTCCAGCATCATAATAAAACCAAGATTATTTCCTTAACCTCCTTCATTCCCCTTCATCATTTGGTTTAGAAGTAAGATGGAAAGAAGTGGCTGCTATAGATCTCTGCTTCCTCAAAGTCCCAAATTTGGGAGTCTCTAACTTTCCTTCGTGACAAAAGGTTTTCTCCAGGTCTTTCAGATGACAAATGAATGTTCTATCCTATGAGTCAGGAGAAATGAGTTCTTGAACAGGCCTGAATTTGGAGAAAACAGTCGATTTGTGATTTCTCTTCTCTTTGGTTTTTAGAAGTTCAATAAATCAGATATCAAAATGTCAAAATGTCAAAATGTCAAAATGTCAAAATAAATAAATAAATAAATAAAGCTGAAAAGCCCACTGGTTTATTCCAGCATGGAGGGGCACATTAAGAATATGAGACAAGAGATTACAGATGCTGCAAACTTAGGGTTGAAAAAAAGGTGGTAATGAAGAAAGAAGTAATTTGGCAGAAATGTGTCACTTGTTAGGGCTTTGGGACATTAGTAAATATTGCAAATAACCTATAAATAGTAAGGACTTTTCTCTCACCCAGAGAATAAGATGAATACCATGAAACAAATGATCACAAATCCCTCAGTTAAAGATTTGTTCAAATTCTTTCACTCTAGAGGGCTTTATGGAAATAAGTGATCTTTAAAAATTCATGGGCGACAAACACAAATTTTAAAACTAAAAGCAATGCATGATACCTTAATTTCAGTCTGTTTAATATCTTCTAGTATTTATAATGCCCTTTTTTAGTTATTCAGAAACTGTTCCATGAACAAATATTCTCAAATGTCTCAAAAGGTACTTCTGATATCCAACACATGATAACTTGTACAGATTACAAGTAAAATTACAGGAAGGAGCTTGTGACTGGGATGTTCCTCTGACCCTGTGATGAGGAGCCATGAACCCGCCTCCTTTCCAAGCTCTGCAAAGGAGTCACTCCCCTTCCCTCTTCCAGCCAATCAGTTGACCATAGCTGGTTGCAGTGGAGGGGCTAAGGGTATAAAAGCTGGGGAAACCAGGAGGCCAGCCTCTCACCATTTTGTGAGGCTGTCCGGAAACCACAGGATTTATGTCTGGGTGTGGATTTTCGAACCCCAGGCTCAGTTAGCAAGTCCAATAAACTCGTTAATATTCTTCAAACCGGGGTTTGGAGAATTCCTTTCTCAGGTTGTTGCAAGGACTGTGGGAGGAGGGGATTAGATGCCACATTCACCTCCCAGCAGTGAATTTGACTTACAGAGCTTAATAACAGTAGGATTTCTTAATTTCTAAGAAGAGTCAATAACATGGTTTGTGCTAATATCAACCCATCTGGATTAAAAGAGAGATAACCAAAAATGTAAATTAAGCGCTGTACTATATTATAGGGCCACACAATCATGTCAGCTATTTATTTTTCCTATCTTTAAGTCATTAGTAAGAATCTCATTAACAAAAGTCTTTTACTGTTTCAGAACTATTTCTATTTATGAAGACAGATATTTTTCAATACCTATAGAATATAAAGGTAACAAATGTGGGCTTCCCTGGCAGGCAAATTTGGCCTCAAATCTAGCCTTAGTCCTTACTAGCTATTTAAACTTGGAAAAGTTATTAAACCTCAATGGTCTTTAGTCTTTTCATCTTAAAATATTTTTTGAATATCTCTAATGTTGCAAGCACTATACAATAGAGAAAGCCTATGGCAAATTTTACTTAATAAATGCAAACCATTATAAACATTATTCCAGGAAATGGCCAAATTCTCTCTCTGAATAATTGGGTTAAAATAAAATACTCATAATATCTATGCTGGATAGCTTAGTTGTCAGCTTGACACATGTGAGAAGAGGGAACCTGAGCTGGGGAATGGCTTCTATTGGACTGACCCTGTTGACATGTCTGTGGGGCATTTTATTGATTGTTGAGTGATGTGGGGTGGGCCAGCCCACTGTGGTTGGTGTCATTCATGTCCTGTGTTATATAAGAAAGGAGGCTGAACATGGACCAGGGAACAATACAGTAAGTAGCACTCCTCCAAGGTCTGTGCTCCAGGCTCCTACCCCTAGTTCCTGCCTTGGCTCCCTTTAATCATGGACTGTGAGCTGTAAGACAAATAAACCCTTTCCTTCCCAAATTGGTTTTGTTCATTGTTTTTAACACAGCAATAGAAAGTAATTAAAAATACCATTACATAAGAACTGTTGCTTTTAATCTCTCTGTTATATAACCTTGATTATTCTTATAGCTTACATGTATAACTTGCAATTTATTCCTAAAATTTAGAAATGTTTGATATTTTTGCATGTATATTACAGCTCTGAGTACAGACTCTTGTGTTAAGCACACATTCAATATGATGTATTGAATA